TAGTAAGGGCATACAGTCGTAAAAAATCTGCTTCAATAAATTGTGCAATAAGAACTGCCAAAAACTGGACCGAGCCAGATTCCTGGAGTGGGTTTCTACTCATGTGGATTTAAAACCCTTGAGTCCAGTATAAAATAAAGTAACCGAACAAACAAACAAACAAACTGAATGAATCGTATATGCTTGCTTAGTTTAAGTATTTTGGCTTTACAGCTCTTTGAAGAGAGACCTGTGTGGTCGAAGAATGCAATAGTTGGGAACCTGAATATTGACAACTCAAGGCTGAAAACCATCTTGCCTCTATTCGCTTATTATTTCCTGACTGGACCGTGGCGCTCCCTGTGGGTGAGAATAGGCTACGATCCGCGTAAAGATCCGACTGCTAAGAAGTATCAAACGCTAGACTTCAGAGTTCGGCAAAGTAAGTGCTATTTAATAACAAGACTAGTTAACAATAATTGATATATTTCCGTGTTTTATTCTGTAAGTGATGCATAAGTAATGGGAAGGTGTTTTAGCAATTTAGGTAGGCGATTTTTTAAATCTGCTAATTACAGGTGATGTTTACGATTTTTCAAGGGTAGACATTACTTAATGTACCTATATTTTGTTTCAGTGTCTGTTGATCGCATGCCTATCTCCAGTAAACGTGGTACATTTTGCTATCAGAAGCCAACAACAGTTTCTAAGACCCAGGCACAGGTAGCACTAATACAGGTACGTTCATCCACTGTTTCACTGTGCACGGTTGATAGCTCTTTTATTCCGTTCTGAGACAATGTGGTACTTAATTGTACATTTCCTAGGTTAAAATATTTTTAATTCGTATTCGTGTAACAAGCTAACAATCTGGTGTTTCAAATCAGTATTATCAAAAATCAAATCAATTAAACATGATGGCATCCTGATATTTCTGTATCTACAGGCTGATGACCTTGGAGTGGGTGATGCTGCAGTGGCCTCTACATCAACAGCGGGCACGCGGGAAGAACTGGAGAAAATCACTTCAACATATACATTCATACCGAATGTTCTGCCACCGTTTAGACAGATGTTTTACCAGCTGTGTGATATTCAGGCACCAGAGGTTCAAGCAATTGTCAGCCGCAATGACAACAAGGTAGCCAAGGAATTAAAAACATTTACATAGCTGACCAATGTTGTCCATGTGTAGCTAACCAATGTTGTCCATGTGTAGCTAACCATGTGGTTGTCCTGGGCTAGCTACCCATGTTGTCCTATGTAGCTAACCAATGTTGTCCATGTGTAGCTAACACATGTTGCAGTGTAGCCTAACCATGTTGCCATGTGTTAGCTATACCCATTGTGTTTCATATGTAGCCTAACCATGTTCGTCCATATGTAGCCCTGACAATGTTGTCCAATATTATGCTAACCAATGTTGTCCATATGTAGCTACCATGTTTGCCATTATGTACGCTAACCAATGTTGTCATGTGGTAGTAACAATGTTGCCATGTGATAGCTAACCATGTTAGCATGTGTAGCTAACCCGTGTGTCAATGGGTAGCTAACCCACTGTTGTGTCCATATGTAGCTAACCTCATGTTGTCCATGGCCCTAGACTAACCATGATTGTCCATGTGTAGACTAACAGTTGTGTCCATGCGGCTAGCTTTAACCATGTTGTCCATATGTTAGCTAACGCCAATGTTGTCCATGCTGTAGCTAACATGTTCTGTCATTGTAGCTAACCAAATGTTGTCCATATGAGTAACAATGTTGTCATATGTAGCCTAACAATGTTGTCCATATGTAGCTAACCAATGTTTAGCCATATGGCTAGCCTAACCAATGTTCTCATGTGTAGCTACAGATGTTGTCCATATGTAGCTAACCGAATGCTTGTTCCATATGTTAGCTAACCAATGTTGTCGCATGTGTAAGCCTAACCAATGTTGTCCATATGCTAGCTAACAATGTTGTCAGTACTGTAGCTGACCAAATGTTGTGCCATATGTAGCCTGACCAATGTTGTCCATAATGTAGCTACCAATGTAGTTTGTCCATATGGTAGCTGACACGATGTTGTCCATACGTAGCTAACCAATGTCCATGCGTAAGGCTAACCCATGTTGCCACTATGTAGTAACAATGTTGTTGTCCATTCGTAGCTACCCATGTTGTCCATATGTAGCTAACCATTTGTTGTCCATATGTAGCTGACCAATGTTGTCCATTTATGTAGCTGAACCAATGTTGTCCATATGTAGCCTAACCAATGTTGTCCATATGTAGCTGACAATGTTTGTCCAATTGCTAGCTAACCAATGCGGGTGCCATATGTAGCTGACCAATGTTGTCCATTATGTAGCTAACAATGTGTCCATAGTAGCTAACCAATGTGGTCCATATTGTAGCTGACCAATGTGTTCCTATGTAGCTAACATGTTGTGCCATATGCTAGCTAACCAATGTTGGTCCATATGTAGCTAACCATATGTTGTCCATATGTAGCCTAACCAAATGTTGTCCATATGTAGCTGACCAATGTTTGTCCATATGTAGGCTAACAATGTCCATATGTTTAGCTAACCAATGTTGTCCATATGTAGCTGACCAATGTTGTCCATATGTGTAGCCTCGACCAATGTTGTCCATATGTAGCTGACCAATGTTGTCCAGTATGGAAGCTAACCAATGTCCCATATGTAAGCTAACCAATGGTTGTCCATAGTGTGCTGACAGTCTGTCCATATGTAGCATGACCATGTATGTTCCATATGTAGCTAACCAATTGTGTTGTTGTCCACTATGTAGCTAAACCAATGTTGTCATATGTAGGGCTAACCAATGTTGTTGTCCATATGCTAGCTAACCAAGTTGGTCATATGTAGCTGACCAATGTTGTCCATTGTAGCTAACCAATGTTTGCCATATGTAGTGATAATGTTGTCCATATGTTAGCTGACAATGCTGTCCATATGTAGACAAAACCAATGTTGTTCCATATGTAGCTAACAAATGTTTTGCTCCATTATGTAGCTAACCAATGTTGTCCATATGGAGCTAACCAATGTTGTTGTCCATATCGTAGTAACCAATGGTAGTCCATATGTAGGACCAATGTTGTCCATTGTAGCTGACCATGTGTCGTCCATATGCCTTAGCCTAAACCCAATGTCCAATCGTAGCTACCATGTTGCCATAATGTAGCTACCCATGTTGTCCGATATTAGCTAACCTCACATGTTTGCAATATGCTAGCTAACCCATGTTGTCCTCTATGCTAGCTAAACCAATTTGTCCATGCTGTTAGCTAACCATGTTGCCATATGTAGCATAGCCAATGTTGTTCCATATGTAGCTGGACCATATGTTGTCCATATGTAGCATAACCATGTTGTCCATATGGTAGCTGGACCTATGTTGTCCATATGTAGCTAACAATTGTTGTCTTGATTCCATATGTAGCTGACCAATATTGTGCCATATGTAAGCCTACAATGTTGTCCATTATGTTAGCTGACCAATGTTGTCATATGTAGCTAACAATGTTGTCCATATGTAGCTAACCAAATGTTGTGTTGTCCTATTGTAGCCTAACCAATTGTTGTCCTATGTAGCTGACTATGTTGTCCATATGTGCTGACCAATGTTGTTGTCCATGTGTAACTAACCAATGTTGTCCATATAGCCTACAATGTTGTTGTCCGTATGTTAGCTAAACAATGTTGTCCATGTGTTAGCTAACCAATGTTTGTCCATATGATTAGCTAACATGTTTCCTATTAGCTGACAATGTTGTCCATATGCTAGCCTGACCAATGTTGCTCCATATGTAGCTGACAATCGGTTGTTGTCCATGTGTAACTAACCAATGTTGTCTTATACCTGTCAGTGCTGCCCATACGTGGGCTTATCAAATCATCTAGGCTTCCTTGCATCTGGAGGGAACGCCTCCACCCTTATCACTACCATTATTCTACTTCACGGCTTCTTTCATTACAGGAGAAAGGTGTGCACAGAAAAAGGATGGCTGGTGTTGCAAGAAGACTTCGGGGCAAGTGCGGCATGTGCTGAAGCCGGTTATCTGATACGGACGATGTGCAAAGCGCGTTTCGGCTTCGCGCAGTTCCTCCAGCGGCAAGCGCCAGAGTATGAAGGGGCGTGTGACGAACCGTGTAAATATAAGACGATAGCTGCCACATGTGGATACCGTGATGTCGAAACGATTATTCATATTTGGTTTTGTTTCTCACTCAGCGGCCAGCGGCAAAGAGGGCAAGAATAACAACGTAAGAAGCTTGTGAAGAAGAGGTGGAGAGTCTGAGCACCGATAGGGGCTTGTGGCCTTGAGCAGAACGTTCATGACATGGATAGACTGAGCGGCTTTAGTTTATGGGACGATGGAGATTAAATGACCCTTTAATAATAATGCAAATGAGAATGTAGCTGACAGGCATGTATAAACGGTGTATATGTGAAAAATATCAGGTTTTTGCGATTTTAAAATATTCATCTTGTTATAGGGTTTGTGTTCTTCATTTTCTGTCTTTTAGCACGAAGGACGCAAGTTGTTAATATGAATCTCTGCAGTTCGTCTTAGCATTATCACATATGACAGATGATATTCTCCCTAATTTATGCAGATGATGCATCCAGATGGAGTTCAAACCCTGTCTCCCTATTTCGTTTGCTACAAGACCTTGATCATTCTATCGATGGTGAAAATGTGTTATATTCATTTACGAATAGAATAAACATTGATCACACGTGTAATACGAACCACCCCTTTTATAAAACAAATTCTCAGAAGGCATCTCTAGTATTAAACTGCCGCTTCCCCTATTCATGGATTGTTTCTCGATTCACTCGTATTCAGCCTGCTTCTTACAAGACATCTATACACATATCAATTATGCACACATGGAAAAGACTACACCTGCATATATGATCTACACTATATGTTGTACTATAGTTAATAAACACTGCTTGAACTTCTTACTTGTTGTTTGAGATTCTTTGTGTTGGTGACGGCCACGGAACGAACTAAGGGTTTGAAGACCCATGGTTCAGCTGTGCTCCCGTGTCTATGGTGTAGCCTCTTGCATAGTGTAGCATATCGCTAGGACCGCGTCCTCCACACCATCGCAGTCTATATGTCAATATAGCACTGAGTAATAAATTTACAAATTATTATCGATGGTCAGCATGCCCATTGCCACCCATGACTAAAAAGGGGAATCAACTAATAGTTTTAGAGATTACTGTTCTGTTGAATTTTTGTCATTAAATTTATATTATGGCCTTTGTTATTTGTTATTATTTTTGGTAAAATTTGACAGGAGATATGGCCCTAATGGTTTCTTCCATAGGTTGGAGGCTAAGGAAGATCTTTATTTGGCACCAGCTCCAACAAGTACTACATATTATAGCAAGAATTTATAGAGAAAGCGATATTTGCTTTCATTGAATAAGTAAAACAACTATTTTTTATTTTATACTATGAATCTAGGGTATATATTTCATGATGACTCTAAATGTCTAAAACTACTTAGTCACAGATTGTGCTTGAAAAAAAGATGATCCTTTAAAAGTTCCGAAAAATAATCACACTTTTGGCGCGAACATGTACTGAGTACCTAGCATATAATGCTACCATACTATGAAACCATCACGAAAAACAGAAATACCAATTAATACCTTTTGATTCCAATATCTGGTATTCTTCTATCTATATATATCTATTATATGTCCTTTCTATCATATATTATTATGGTAACATCTATCCATGTATATATTCTCGTCGCGGAATAAGTGATCCCCCTTTCAAATGTATTCGCCTACGACTCTGTTAGCACGGCTGATATTTTTATTCAGAAGTATGCGGCTGGTGTTTCAGCCTCAACTTTTTCACCCCCCCCCCAAGCACAAATATTGCATTATTACGGCCTATAATACGCGTTTTTACAGTCACACAAACCACACCTATTAACAACGCGTGCGCGGGTATTATAGGCGTAATTCCTTTTATTGCGCGGGGTGTTGAAAAAAGTTTCGCTGAAATACGCGCCATTTACCTGCCCAAAAGCTTTTCCCATGCCTTTGCCTGGTCATGGGCGATGAGGGGAGTATGTAGTTGAGGAGATATTAAGAACGAAGAGAGGGCGAGTATATATATATATACTTACTATATATATATATTGCGCTCTGAGAAAAAGAGAACATGCGATGAGAGAGAGAGACGAGAGATGAGGAGAGAGAGAGAGAGACGCTGACAGAAAGAGAGAGAGAGAGGAGAGAAGACAGACTGACAGAAGAAGCAGAGAGGAAGAGAGGTGACGAGAATCACGTAGAGGGAGAGGCCGTGGAGCGGCGCGAAGGCCGAGGGAAAAGTAAGCTATATCGAAGAATATTTGCATCATTAGCCTGTCGCTGCCAGTATCCCCGCTCCCGCTGCGTGCTGCGCCGTACGTAACGTTATGTATGCGCGTGTGACTGCGCATGCGTGTGCACATATCGTGACAAAAATGCATCTCCTCGGCCTTCCGTCCCTACACTGCATTTCGTTTCTCCTTTTTCTCCTCCTCCCGTCTCACTCCTTCCCCTCAGTATTTTCCTCCCCTCTCGCGGATAGCTATATGCCGCACGGGCATCAGTTGCCACGGTGCAGTTAGCCATGCGGCAAATGGCTGATTTCAGCCTCAACTTTTTTCACCCCAAAGCACAAAATATGATTATACGGACTATTTTTAAGTTTTTTACTGTTCGAGCTCGCACGCACAGACCACTTTCGCTGCGACGACTGTCTGGATAAAAAACATCAGGCGCCACGAGAAAACACCATTGACTAATGTTTAATACCGATTTATTGATCATGCAGTAGCACACTGATAATTCCAACAAATGTGAATTACACACACACCGACGTTGGTTGCTGCGCGCACGCGTCACCTACACTTTAACCCTGATCATTCGCGCCTGTTATATGTGTATTCAGGCACTGATATGGTAACACACATCTCTGTCTCTCTTTTTCCAGTACGCTGGGGAAGGAAAGTGTAGGAAATTAAATAGAAGCACACCTCCAAAAATGCAAAACTACCGTGTAGTTGAATACACGGACTGTCGTTCCTATGAACCGCAGACCATTTGCCTCCGCTCTCTTCAACTAAAATACCGTTTTCACTATGAACCGCGGCCATGTCTCGGACGCCACAAGGACATGTGTTTTATTTAACGAGGTACACTAAGTGCTGACAACAACCACTGCTGTTTTACCGCGTGAAAATACCCGGCCTACATGAGTCTGAAAATATAATATATATATTATTTATTATATTGATGCTCGCAGACAGTTGATCAGACACCAAGTCATACCACATATCTCACCATACATATACATTTACAGCTACGTTAGTAGCCGTAGGCCTTACCTGCTACTTTACACCCGTCCGTTGTGCAAACAGTCATTGGTAATTATGAATTCCTCCGCATTTGACAGATACTTGTTCTATACAACTGGTTAAATTCATAGTGCACGCTACCTACGCACGCACGCATGCGCGAGGCGTGCGTGGCAAGTGTGCGTACATTGCAGAGTTACAGACACACAAACCATTACATTGTATAAACCGCACGCACGAACGCACGCACGCAAATGAGATGACGCAATATTTATAGAAATGCGTAGTTGTGTTATTATAAAGCTCCATTTAGACATATGCGCAAAATATTAAAATTACACGATACAAATCACAGCCTAATCTATTGATATTTAACAACAGAAGAAAAAACCTGGGAAAGTAAGTCGGATTAAACTGTCGTTTCGTTTAGTTCGGAGGAAAAACATACCTATCTCATACATACATAATACATACATAGCATACATAGGATAGAGCAATACATATATCATACATAGGATAGAGAAGAATCAAGTCATAGTAAAGGGAAGGAGAGGTGTAGGGGCTCACAGCTAAAGAGGTGGATGAAGGAAAGATCATGGAAAGGCAGGTCAGGGAAAGAGAAGACTCACAACAAGCCTGGGTCAGAAGAACGTGTGCGATAACAGGAGGGAATGCGACTACTGTATATTAAAGCCGTATTTTTCGCATACAGATATTTTCGCGAATTCAGACTTGACGAACAATTTCGCAAATGGTTAATTTCGCGGTCGGTGAATTATGAATTATTCGGTATTATTCGGTATGCATTATCCACGTGTTGTTATCTTCGCGGCCGGTGACGCGTTCGCGAAATTCGCGAAAATTAAACCACCGCGAAATATACAGTTTATACAGTATTCGATAACCGCTAGGTTCAATGAACAGGGGGGTCCCAGCGCAAGGATATTGGATATTTGGATTCACTTCATATGTCAGCTCTGAGGAACGGCAAGGCGCAAGTAAACACATAACACAAACACATAACGGCACGTTCTCTCACATCGTGTCTGTCCACCACTATTATTCCATCTTCAACGTCTCCGATGCATACAGGGCTCTATCATGCACAGGATGACGCAGGTAAATAACATATACAAAATACAGGATCTAACCGAATACGCGCTCTAATGGCGTCCTTCCTCCGAGTGTGTACTGGAGACAATATTATATACATAAAAATAACGCAACGTACAAGCGCCAGGGTGTGCACAGAACGCATGAGGTGCTAGCTCCGATTCACAAAGCTCTCACTCCTTCGTCAATCTCCGGCCGCGAATAACAAATCGCCACTGTTGATCGCTGAATCGCATCTCCGGAATGCCTCTTCGCAAGCGCCCCCTACTGGCAGTTCTGTTCGCGAGTAACCATCAAGAGATTCGCGTCGCCGTTGCTGATCACGCCTGCGGCGCCCCCTGGCTGCGGCGCCGCGTCGTCGTCGCCTGTATCGTCGACGTGGCCATTGCTCTCCTTCCACGTCTGCTCGTCCTCGCTCGTTGCCATGGCGACGGGCGTCTTCTGCGGTGCGGGCTTCATCACGCCGATGGCTTCCCAGAGATTGCGCTGAGCAGACGGCTGCAGAGGATGAGCATTGACGATCATAGACTGTGCGTTCAGAATCGCCGTCGATGGCTGAACAATGGTGGGTTGTGCATGAACAACGCTCGGCTGCGCATGAACAATGCTCGGCCGTGCGTGAACGATGGCCGGCTGCGCATGAACAATGCTCGGCCGTGCGTGAACGATGGCCGGCTGCGCATGAATAACTGTGGGTTGTGCGTGAACGACCGTAGGTTGACCATGAATGATGCTGGGTTGCGCGTGAACAACTGTGGGTTGTGAGTGAACGACCGTAGGTTGACCATGAATGATGCTGGGTTGTGCATGAACAACTGTGGGTTGTGAGTGAACGACCGTAGGTTGACCATGAATGATGCTGGGTTGTGCATGAACAACTGTGGGTTGTGAGTGAACGACCGTAGGTTGACCATGAATGATGCTGGGTTGTGCATGAACGACGGTGGGTTGTGCATGAATGATGCTGGGTTGTGCATGAACGATGGTGGGTTGTGCATGAACGATGGTGGGTTGTGCATGAACGATGGTGGGTTGTGCATGAACGACGGTGGGTTGCGAGTGAACGATGGTGGGTTGCGAGTGAACGATGGTGGGTTGCGAGTGAACGATGGTGGGTTGCGAGTGAACGATGGTGGGCTGGGCGTAGACGACGTTGGGCGGGGTGTTCAGTGCCGTCCCCGTCGCCTGTCCCTGCAGCACAAGCGTCTGCGGCAACGCTGCAACGCCACCTGCCTGCGTGTACACCACCACCGTGCTGCCACCTGTCGAGATGACGGGCGCGCTCGCCGCTTGACCACCGTCTGGAATGTTTGCGTTAATCAAGTACTGCGTGCCGCCGACTGTCAGCAGCTGCTGGATGCACCCGCCAGGGGGCGCCACCGCCTGGACGAACTGCGTCTGCGGCGAAACGCCGGCGGCCGACACGACACGGACCAGCTTCTGGACACCAGGGGTCAGCACTGTTGCGGCGGGCATCGTGTGCGTGGCGACGGAGTACGCAGACGGCACGGTCTGTATCGAGGTAATCACTGTCTGGCTCGCCGCCTGCAGCGGCGGTGCACTAGGGGGCGCCATTACGCCGCTCGCCTCGCTCGTCGACTTGGCAGCCTGCAGCGCCCCCGAGTGGTTGTCCAGTACGGCCGACATGACGTACTGCAGGCTGAGTCGCTCCTGTTCCCCGGATGGTGCGTTGCTCGCCGGCGATGCTGCTGCCACCTGCTGGGCTGCACCGGCAGACTGCTCCGACTTGGCGACAGCGGGAGGGGGGGCGCCGGCGTCCTGCGGCTTCCGCGTCGCAATCTGGTGGCGGGTCTGATGCGACATCTTCCACGGGTTCGCGTTGTACACGATCGGGGCGGCGCGCGCTCCCGTCGCCGCCCCCTGCTGGCCGTCGCGTGCCGCCGCCACTGCCGGCGCCCCCTGCTGGTGGTGGCTGCGGATGACATAGTGCTGCCCATTGATCTCCAGCTTTGCTCCCTGCGGGAACGCCTTCAGGTTAAGCCCGTGCAGACTCGACGCGTCGATCTTACCCGACGGCGACTTGATGACGAACACCGGCTGCTGTGGCACGCTGGCGCCCCCTGGCGACGACGTCGCCGCGCTCCCCATCGTTGCCAGCAGCGTGCGGACGCCGCCCGGTGACTGGACGATGGTTGGCGGGGTGGCGGGCGGCCGCACGACGACCTGGACGAGCGGCCGCGGCGGCGGCGGCGGGGTCTGCCGCGCGGCCGCGTACGGCGGGAAACGCTGCCGCAGCGGCGACGACGACAGCGTCATGGGCCGCGCCGCCACGCTGCCGGGCGCGCCACGCTCCGTGCGGATCGCCTCCAGCAGCACCCGCGCCGTCGCCGGCGACGCCTTCTCTCCCGTGGCCGTCGTCGTGGCGACGGCTCCGGACGCGAGCATCGCCTGCAGCTCGGCCGTCGGCAGCACCATCACCTGACCGCCGCGCGGGATCGCCAGCTTCCCGCCGAGCAGCGACGCCACCTGCTGCTGCATGCTAGATGGCGCCGGCTTCTTCGCAAGTTTCACCGGCGCCGCGTCCTCATCCGTCTCGGCGGCGCGAGAGCCGACGGGGTTTCCGCGTTCGTCGACGAGCAGGATCTTACTGCGGTAGGGCATCGCGGCGGCGGCGGCGGCGGCGGCGGCGGTCTCGCTCTGCTGCATGTAGATCGGGCGGCGGTTGATCGGGTTGCGCTGGCTGTACGTGTGCTCGCCAAGGAAGCGTGTGCGGCTCCCCATGCCGCCGCCACCGCCGCTAGCGCCGACGTTGTCATCGTCGTCGTCGTCATCATCGTCATCATCGTCGTCGTAGTCATCGCTCGAATCCTGTGCGACCGAGGGAGAAAGCACGTTCAGATGTTTACGATTCAAAGCGTGCGGGCGAGAGAAATTCGTGACGGATTCGGGAATAACGGCTCGCAATTTCTAGTCAGGATTTATACGAATTTATGCTCACCTTTACCACAACGCTTAATATTTACAACGCATACTCTAATTATCGGTTTTAATAATAGTTTTAATAATTAGTAATTAACCTAAAATCTGCCTCCAGCTGTTACCAGCTGGCTTACGAGCGTGACCTAACCCCCGTTAGCATGACAACGCACCTGTTCCATCTGCTTGGTGATGGCTGACAGGGTCTTCAGAGCGCGGCTCGTCGCCTGTCGCTGCGGCCTGATCGAGGCGCGAACGTTCACCTTACGGTCGTCCATCTGGAACTCGTCGTCGCTGTCAGCCTTCTCCGTCTCCTCCGGTAGGTGGCGCTTTGCGGCGCGGCGCACCACCACCTCGAGACTCTTCGCCATCCACGAGTAGTCTGCACGCAAGACGCACGCGGAAACACATATAGGGAGACGTCGAGTACACGGCAACGACGCACACCGGCAAAAACATACACACATCACATACAATTACACAATTGATAAATTATAACAAGATGATAATGTAGCAGATAATGTAAAGTACTGAATGATAAAGTACTGCATGTTAGTGTTACAGATAATAACATTATAGACATAATGTAATCGGCAATAGGCTGGACAACCAGATGAATGCCCATGGGATAAGACTGGGACATATAGGAGCAGGATAGGACTGGGATAGGAGCAGGATAGCACCAAGATAGGAGCGGGATAAGACTGGGATGGGAGCAGGATAAGACTGGGATAGAAGCAGGATAGAACAGGGATAAGACTGGGATAGGATTGAGATAGGAGCAGGATAAGACTGGGATAGAAGCAGGATAGAACAGGGATAAGACTGGGATAGGATTGAGATAGGAGCAGGATAAGACTGGGATAGAAGCAGGATAGAACAGGGATAAGACTGGGATAGGATTGAGATAGGAGCAGGATAAGACTGGGATAGAAGCAGGATAGAACAGGGATAAGACTGGGATAGGATTGAGATAGGAGCAGGATAAGAATGGGATAGCACCAGGATAGGAACAGGATAGGACTGGGATAAGAAGGAGATAGGACAGGGCTAGGAGCGGGATAAGACTGGGATAGGAGCAGGATAGGACTGGGATAGGAGCAGGATAGCATAGGTCCAACTTACCGCTGTCGGGGCCGTTGTACTGCCGACAGTTGTCGAAGATCAGTTGGAAGTCGTCGAGGAACTCTTGCTTGCTCGTGTAGTCCCTCGCCTCCATCTTCTCCTCAATCGCCATAAAATCCATCGGCTCCTGCCAACGCGAAAAAAACAACTCTCAGCCGGCGCACTAAATCACTAAATTAGCAGTGGTGGCTGCACTAGTGCTGCCGTCACACGTTGTTATTTTCCCGAGCAACTTTGTTCATCTTCGTTACCTTGTCATGGGTCGAAATCCTAAGATGCCTGTATTTTAAGACTCGGGCCTGAGATTACTAATACTAGCAAGCCCGACAGGCCAGTAGAAAATCCACCCCCAGCTTGCATGCCTGTAAAATCCCTTACCTACAGGCCCGACTGGCCTGTAAATTTTCAAACTAATTTCTACCCCTGCTTGTGCCATTGGTTTGCAGGATGGTTGACAGGTGGCGCTTACTCAGCGACCAATCGTGAAGGACTACACGTCTGCAATGCTCGCTGCTACTATGTCTCTCACTCTGCGCACTCTTACCCTGCACACCTCGTTCATGTCCCGCACGCTCACATACCATACCCTCATCTTCTTTTTGTATGGCTTGTTTCCCCGTCCCTGTCCCTACATGTTCCCAGCTCTCACCCCACATGCTCACACCCTCTTCCTCGCCCTGCACGCTCACCCCTATCCCCGTGGCATCCCTGCCCCCACCCTGTGTGCCTCCCCTCTTCCTCACCCTGCACCCCTCTCCTCCTGGCATCCCCGCCCCCACATCACTGTACATTATATAAATCTGTAGGCAATACATTATATGTACCAAGCAAAACAAACATTCAACATAAAAGGTATCTCCACACAAGCACACCCGAGCATGTAGACACCATGCTGAATTTGTAAAAAGACCTCTTCAAAAAGAAGCCTACCTACCTACCCAAACTTTTCAGCCTGGGTCGAGTGAGGGCAAACAAAGATTTTTTTAATTGTGGCCTCACCTCGATCATGTCGAAGTACCCCGGCGCGATGGCCTCGGTGATCGGCTCCGTGAAGGGCCACGCGTCGCGGTGCGTCTGCACTGCCTCCAGCACGCGCTGCATGCTCACGTACACCTTGTCATCGAGCGGCCGCTCCTCGTCCCGCTCGTCGCCTAGCAACCCCGGATGCTGCAGCTCGGGCGGGATCTCTTGGCCGGCGGCGATCAACGCTGCGCGCTGCTCCCGCAGGCGTACGCGCAGCGCCCTCTCTGAAACAAAACGACGTTACGACATGGGGTTTCGCTAGGTGGCGCTCGTGCACTGGACATCGTACGCGCCAGCGTTTGATGAAGCTTGAGCTTCTGTTAGAGCTTCGGTTAGAGTAAGAATTCAGACCTGCCAACCTGTGATTCATGAAAATAGTAAGGCTTTTCTTTTCTTGCAGCCGGCGGCCATTTTGTTTGTATGTTATGCACGCAATGAATGATGGGACTAACTCTAGATCACGCGAGAACAATGTGAACGCGTGATGCAATATGGCTGCGCCCACAATCGCCAGATATTTCTCGGCTCACAATGTAAAAAACACATTCATTTTCAAGTCGTAAAAAATCGTAAATGAAAAAATAAGTTTTTCAGTTTGATCGTACATTCGTAAAAACATCTTGGAATTAGTAAAGAATACGAAAAAATCGTAAGGGTTGGCAGGTCTGAGAATTTCTCGCGCAAGACTGGGGAGAGGTTGCCGGCGCGCGCGGAAACGCGACGACGTAGGTGGCACCGGCGCGCGCGGAGACGCGACGACGTAGGTGGCGCCGGCGCGGCTCACCTTCGCGGAGCTTGATGCGGCGCTCGCGCGACAGCCGCGCGTTCTCCTCCCGCTCGGCGTCCAGCCTCATCTGCTTCTTCTCGTCCTCGCGCCGCTTCCTCTCTCTCTCCTCCTCGTCGATCAGCACCTGGATGCGGTCCTGTGGGATGAGGAGCAAGAAGCAATGACGCATGAATCACTGAAGCCACGCGGGACGAGGAAGGAACAAGCAGCAACGCGTGAATCACCGAAGCCATGAGACGCGGGATGAGTACCAAGCAGCAACGCGTGAATCACTGAAGCCATGAGACGCGGGATGAGTACCAAGCAGCAACGCGTGAATCACTGAAGCCACGAGACGCGGGATGAGTACCAAGCAGCAACGCGTGAATCACTG